GTAACTTCTGTTATTTTTTTGATTGACAGAAGCAAAAGACTCAGTTGCAATAAATATTTGTTGTAATGCTTTAATGTTTTGGACTGCTTTAGGTTTGACTTTATTTGTGCACCAATATGCCATCCAAGATACAAAAGAGAATTTATTGATCCCATCCCACAACGATCCAAAGCATTCACAAGGGCTGATTTAGTACTCACTACTCAAGGTAATGAACATACAAAACACTGCGTAATCAAAATATGGCAAACAATTTGAATAACTATTATTCTGGACTGACTAGCCTCATGTTTAAGTGAAAATATAAAAGCATTTTCACATGTATCGAGAGGCTACAGTAGTCCGTCCAGAACAGCTGTTATCAAATTGGTCATCCTATTTYGATTTGGTGTATACAGTACATTCCATGCATAATATATCCTCCTTGGCTCTCACAGTGCCAACCTCAACACCATTATGCTGTATAATATGCATGTATTGGTATGTTGTCATGGGTTAAATCCTCATACCCAATAACAAACATTCTCATATACCAAGTCTTTTCTTAAATATCTCCTGTTTTTCAAGGGTATTTCTGAGTTCTTCAGTTAATGTCCCTCCACAAAAATCAATTTTGATCTGGCATCYAACTCTACATGTATCTATAGCCATAAGCCTCTTGTTTGAGAGGTTGAGCAATCAGCAACTGCATAGTCAACATTCAAATTGTAATTATATCAACCTATTCAGTAGGATAATGATCAATGCACCAATTAYWAGGTGCTTCATGCTTGTACTGTGAGTGATCCCTGGTCCTGATGAGTCCTAGTGGATCTTGTTATCTTTTTCCTCATAATCATACTGTACAGTGTAATAATGATAATAGTTATAATAATGATGATGATGATGATGATAATGGCTTTATTTATTGAGGGTAATACTAAATAGTACAAAGGTACTAACAAGCTTGTAGCCCTCCAAGTGTACAGTGTAGTATAATTTTGCTTGACAGATTGGAGTACACTTGTGGTTGGGAAAGTCTCTCCTTGGATCAACCTTGATTCCCATAATGACATTGTGAGGAAGAACTCTGAGAAAGTAAGATTGTACATAACTTTCTTTATACCACTAKGTTGTTTATTTATATTCAGAGATAGCTTAGATAGTATCAATGCTCTAATTGGTTTAGAAGTGTGAAGTGTGGTGCAGTTAATAATGCAAGGCTGCTGATACCATCTGTTTATRCAGGRTTTTCAATAKAAGCTGGCAGTCAGCGAATCTCACCACTTGTTTTTACATGAAATCTCTGCCTATTTTGATCATAAAGTTCCCCAAAATTCAGGAGTAATCCAAGAAAGATTTGCCTGCTGCTTCCCRCCTATTCATTACATGTTGCTGCTTACTCAAGCTGGTATTGAAAAAAAACATCACTGAAATCTACAATACAACAAATTAAGCAGTCATCTTCTATTTTCAGCAGTTTCACTGTGYGAATATATGAGAAATGTCACTTCACTTCAAACCTGCACCTGGCTCAGTCGTTGCTCTGTTTGCTCCCTTATGACAAGYGAAGCAACCAACCACAAATGTCTACATGTACTATTTGTGCTTTCTTTAGTGTTGCTAATGAAAATGTTGTGCTTCCATTGTTTTTTAGGCTTTGGTGCAAGAGATAAACTATGCCGTTCATCTTGGTCTTCCATCTGTCATGCTGAACTTAAGGAGCTACAACTGCATTAATCTTKCACATTTTGTCAATGAAATCATCAACAATGCTCACATACGACAGGTATGTTACCAAACCTAAATTTGTTATACTATAYATGTGTTTTCAAGCAAGCCTGCCAGGTGTTAAGAGTATTGTTTTGTATCATCATATCATTGTAATACACACACAGTATGGAATAGACCCCTTAAGATTTGTCATTCTCATGAGAGGAAGTTTGTGATTTTTCTTAACAACTTCAGTATACAATCATATTGTCAAGGCTCTAGTCCAAAGAAGCATTGCTTTTTTTCACTTAAATGATATTGATGTCTGTTTCTATTTTAGCTATGGATTCAAGTTCCTATGATTTCACAAGAAAAGTGTTGTGAYAAAAGCCTGTTTGAAGATGAAGATGACCAGGTGAGACACACCACTGTAATGTTTTTTACAATACCATGCATTGGGGTAAAACAGGCCTAAAATAAAAGCTGCTGAGTGGGTCCAGACGTAAAGATAAACCACACTAAAAGGAATTGACTGGTCAAGAGGAATGGTCTAAGAGGCWTCTTGCCAATTTTGGCTAGACATTGTCTGTCGACCTAGTGTTATTCACTCTGAGGTATTCATTTTCTTTGTCATAAGATGGAAAATGAAGAAGAAGAAAAAAAGACCAAGGAACAAGATACATGGGAATGGTAGGAATCTAGAGAATGAATATTGATTGATAGACAGGTTTTGCTGAGGCTAATATTTTAACATGTATAGAACCTCAAATGAATAAATACTTGTAGATCATAATGATGTGTTTTTTTCTTACTTCAGGTGGAATACCTTCCGCTCCATTTGCAACAATAACAGAAAGGCTGGCTTAGGTAGGTTTACATCACAACTAAAAATATTATTGCAACATGAGGAAAATACAGTATGGTTGGTGCTGCTGATGCCCACCTTGGTAATCRTGTACTTTATGATCAGCATGTATCGGCTGACTGTCATCCAACTGCTAACTGTGTGTTGGTGGATAGTCAGGCAATGCATGGCCAATGCTCAGTAGATTGTCACGCAATGCTCAGCCAAAGCATGACCAGCACTAACAGGACTTTTTCAAGTCTTGTTGTGGGCCAATACACAGCCAATGCTTGGCAATGCACACCCGACAGTTGGGCAATGCGGACCTGATAGTTGGCTAACTCATGCCTAATACATGTACATGTAGTTGGCCAAGTGATGACAATGTGTTCATAAAGTACATACCTGTAATTACCCTCCTCCTCTCACCACTATAGGCACATGTTGCTTGTAGTCCTTTGACAGTTTTCTTTCCTCCACAAACATTCATTTCATAATTTTGATTAGGGCCACAGTTATATTATGTAGTTAGCCACTGCCTATTGAATGTTAACATGGTAAGACATTAGGATCTATTTAGGATTGATATAATTGTGATAAAGCCATAAATAAAAAAGTCAATAAAAACTTTCAAATGAAGTGATACGATACGCGTAACTCCACCGTAAACTGTAAACATGAAAGCTTTGTTATTTTATCAATCATAAATGTGTAATGATTTAACACATTGGAAAACCCTTAGGCAGACTCTCTCATTCATAATATTATAAATGTGRAATCATGAATAAAAATGTCATCAAGCTTCTACATGTATACTCTGTATCTAGAGATAAAAAATACAAGTACCTCTTTAAGTTCTGCTATTCCCTAT